AAATTGGATGCTTATCTTGCTGGGATCCTATGACCCCAGCTGACTTCCTGCCCTTTGGGTGGGGGGGCTGGACTCGATGATCTTCCGAGGTCCCTTCCAGCCCTAATGTCTATGAAATCTATGAAGAGAGGCCAGGTTAGGAACAGTCTTATTATTACTATTATTTATGGTCATCATTGAACATCAGAACTGCTAGACAACAGAAACAGGTTTAAGAGACAAGTCAGTGCAGTCGCATCTTAGAACAGTGAGGGAAAATTGTTGAACTACTAAGAGGTCTATGTCCAAGTCTGGAAGACTTGGACTACCAATCATTATTGCCTGCAATCACAGAATGGTCCCCATTTTGTATCCCTTTCTTTCACCGTGTCCCAGGCCACAAGAGAGAGGCAACCTAGACAACCAAATCCAGTCAGTTGTCACAAACTGTTAGTCACACCAAGGGAGTTCCACATTTTGAGAGATGAAGATGAGCATGCAGTTTCCACTGACTTTATTTGGAATTGAAGATTCTTAGCAATTCTGAAAGCTTACTGCTGCAACCCTGAAACAGGAAAGATCTCTGCCACGTATGAAGAGTGGTGTAACTAGATTGCTTTCAGATGAACTGTTTTCCTATCCATTTCAGTGTAGAGTCAGTTGACAAGTGCACTAAGTGTTGCAGAAAAAAGTACAAACATGCAGTTTTTGCAAGACCTTGGTTCTGCATTACCTTCACTGAATCTCATACTTTGTCCCTTTGAATAAAGGGAAAGAAAAGTGCTTGAACACATTACTGGCAAGAAAGCAACCTGACGAGAACATTTTAAGTGCTGAAAGAAAACGCAGAATAAGAGAAGGACCAAAGAGACTTGGAAAACTAACACACTGATGTCTGAGAAGAGAGAATTGAAAGAGATAAAAACTGGAAGATCACATCCACAGAAAATAGTAAGAAGTGACTCAAAGCCATATTTTGTAACCAAGTAAGTGGGTTTTTTTAAAGGTAATAAAAGAATGAAGCTATAATATTTAAATACCACTGCTCCTTGGAAAACGAAAAAAATAAGGCAGCCATTTTTCCATTACAGCAACACAATTGCAAAGGAGAAGTATTTTAAAACATTACAGGAAAAAAAATACAAAATAGAGGCTACAGGGAAAAGAAAGAGTCAGCAATCAATGATACACAACTCCAAAATTCTGCACACATGCAGTCATATTAAGCATCCTGTTGCTGATTTTATGAAAAATAAAAAGATATTTCTACAATTTGCTGAAGACCTCATACAACCTTGTGTATGAGCTTCTGTAACATGGGTCAGCAATATTTTGGAGCAGGCAGAGGCACTTTAATAAAGCTTAGCTCCAAGCATGGGCTATTTCCAGCTGGGCTGCACTAGGCCCCTTCCAGCCCTAAATTTCTGTCTATCTGTGTGCTGCACTTACCAGACCCAGCCCACCTCTCCCCTGCCTCAAGTGCCACACCTGTTGCTTCTTTCCACTGCCTGACCACCATATGGACAAAGCCCCATAGCTCAATGGGTCCAAATCCAGTTCATGGGCTATGGGTTGCTAATGCCTGTCCCAGCATGATTATATACAGAATTTTTTTAAGTAATAAATTGTAAGTAATTTGGAGTTTGGTTAAGTGTAGGGAAAGGAACCTGGAGCCTGTAAACAGCTGGACTGGACTTCATGAGCCAGGAGATACCTTCCTATCCTATGTGCCTACATTCGCATTAAAACATCGTAAGGTATGTGCAAGAAATAAAGATAGACAAATTACAGTCCAAGGATCACTAGTGGTCAGCCAAACACATCTAGGTATCCAGCAGTTGCTGACTTTTATAGCAACTATCAACACATGCAAATCTTCAAACAATAATGTTTGCTATAAGACACAGCAGTCTAAGACTCAATTTCTAGAGATGTTTAACCAAGAGAAGGCTCCAGAATACTTCTCTCCTGTTGCTTACAGCATTAAAAACACAACAGTTAAGCCAAAGTGTAGAGTCCACCAGAACTGGAAAGGCAACAAACAGTGACAGAGCCAAAGAGCAAAAGTGTCTGGGGAAGTCAGAACAGAAGAACTGGAAAGCAACAAAGAAAGACTTTATACTGATAAATGAAACTGGCAGCCAGGAAGTATAGTAAATGGCAGACATGAAGTAAGTTAACTTGGGTTAATGAAACATTTTCTTATCTTCTTAGTACTGAATGACTACTGCTTGCTTATGAAACAGTAATGTTTTGCTTGGAGAAGAAAATATGGATCTAGAAAGGTGGTAGATTAGGTATCTAAAAGGATCTACTTTGGGAACACCTACACTGTAGAACACAGCTGTAATGCAGACATACCCATGCCAGGCTTTAGTTAACTCGCATACAACCAGCACCACAGCTGCAAACAGCCTGAGGATCAGTGCTAACTGTAAAACTCACTTGAAAAGCTGGATAAGTACTCAGGCTGTTAGCACCCCCAAACCTCTGTGCTACTGCAACTAGACTGATACTACTAGCAATGCCACTTGACGACTACACTGCAAGGAGTAATAAGTCAACCTAAAACAATCATGCTCTGCTGAAATAAGTATTTTACCAATTTTAATTGCACATTAGAAACATTTTAAAAAGGGCAAGTGTTGTTCTTAACCATTCTGCAATCCAGGGTAGGGTAGTGGATGCAATTCAAATTATTCCCAACGTTGCCAACAACTTATGTGATCTTGGGGTAAATTGCTCTCCCTTTCTCTACATGCTTGTTTCCCTCCCACTTCTCTGTCTCACCCGCTTAAACCAAAGGGCCATCTAACTACTGAGTTCCTGTCCAGTAATAGCACAATAGGCCAATGACCTTAGGCACTAGTACACTACAAAAATGTGGTGTTTAACTTCATTGCAGACTGGTCTGATATTCCTTTAAGAAGCTATCTAAGGTTTGACAAATACGACAGATAGCTTCACAGAAGCATTCCTTTTCTGGTCCCAGAAAAGCAACAACACAGTTGTAATGGTATACTACTTTTCCTAACTTAATTTTAAATTACTAAACAGAATCACTGTTTGTTGTATATGTAGTTTCCTACTACAAAAACATTCACTGCATCAAAACTAAAAGGTATATTTCCCCACTCTTTGCCTACTTAAGCCCAGTGCTTATCACAAAGCAGTACAATTCCCCACCCCTTACAAAGCAACTCCCACATGTAAAAGACCAATGAAGTGAACCACATGATCAAGTGCTAACTCTCTTCAAAAGAAGTGAATATCAATCATCCAGAATGACTGAAATCGCAGGACTAGGTAGCTACCATCACAATATACATTAGGAATCTTACATAAATTGGAAATATAGACATACTGCTTAAGGATGAGTATTTGAATACAAGTATAAACAAATTATTAATGTACAAATTAGGAGAGGGATACCAAGGAATATAAAAGAAGAAAAAAAACCCCCTGTATATTGGAAGTAACAGGAACCAAAAAGTGCAAGGTCTCTTACTAAATGTGAACATTAAATTGAAAGGATGGTATAGAGGTCTGTTTAATACCTTTTTTACTTCACTGCTCACAAAAAGCTCAATTTTCAGATAAAAGGCAGTTAGCAGCAGGGGCAGGGGAGGAGATAAGCAGCCTACAGTATGGAAACAACAGTTAGAGATTAAAGTACTCAAGGAACTGGCTGATGTACAGTAATCACAGAGCCACTGGTTATCATCTTTGAGAACTATGGGATCTCGCCCAATGACAAATGAAAAACACAGGTATGGATATTTAGTTTAAAAAAAAAAAAGACTGACGATACAAAGATTACAGAATGGTCAGCTTAACTTTGACATGTGGAAAAATATCAGCAAATATCATCCAACTAAGCCTAAAAGACAAGACCCTAAAATTTAAACATAATAAAATCAGGAGGATGAGAATACGCAGTGATCTGCATATCCTCAAACTGGTGTCTCAGGATCTCACTGGCTTCTGGGTGGAATTCCAAGTGAAGGTTTGGGACCTAGTTTCCTAAGAAATTTCTTTGCTTTGTGTGTCAGACTGATGAGCAGGAGCACTGGAGTTTGAGTTCTCTCAACCTCAGAGAGAGGGCTCCTTGAAACAGTTATTTATTTACTAAGTGGGAGAAGAAGTTAGTCAAGCAGAGCCAGGGTTTGTTGCACTTCCAGGAAGGCCAACACATCCCATTTTTCTCCTGTCCTGGGTAAGTCTCAGAAAGAGGGGCTATGCTGAAATGGACATATTTGTGAATAAGTCCTTTGCTTCTTTACAAGCTTAGTTTGAGAAGTTCTTACAGAAGCTTGTGCACTCTGAACACCATTTTAGGAGTCTGACACAACATATTAACTGGTTATGAGCTGCATGCAATGACCATAACAATTTTCTGAATATCAAAATTAAAATATATTCAACATAGTGAAGCTATTATCAGGAGAAATAGGATAGAAATACCTCCTCCCTCTTTTCTTATCCTAAAAAGTGGTCTCCCCAGGTAGCAATTCTGAAATCAGTATCTTCAGTTTTGAACTGGTTTATTGTAAATTTTTATAAATGCAAATTTTCTTTCATATACATTATCCTCACTGAAAAAAACTGAATCTTTCACATACCATTCTGAAGTCCTCTTCAAACTTGTAGGCCCCACCGCCCGTGGCACAAAGTGTGGTGTGCAAACTGGAGAAGTTCTTTTCACTACCCATCTGTATGAACCTGTGCATTGCACAACTGGGAAAACGGATGAAGTGCAGATTTCCTTTGCGTCCACACATAGTCAAATTTTTCAGTTCAAGATGGACATCGCGAATGCCAGTTTTACCATAGGCTGTATTGGAAGTCAAGTACTTCCTAATGCTTTTCAGATTTTCCACCTCTTCCTGTTCTTCTTCTGCTGTAATGTCTTTTGGTTCAAAGTAGACCAGTTTAACCAACGTTCCACCAATATCCATTCCAAACCACGGAAATGCTGAGGGGAGGAGGAGAAGGGAGGGAGAGAGAGAGAGAAAGCTGCTATAAATATATATATGGGTTTACTATATATCAAGAGCAGAACTGAAATTCAAAGTAACAAAGTTTACATGACTGAGGTTTTGAGCACAAGGATAATTGGTGACCTGCCCACCTATTTGCAGGTACTGGCACCTAAGAATATGACCTTATAAAGTTTCCAGGTTACAAACAAAAATTCAGGCAAACTGAGCAATCCTTCATGCAAACTGAAAAACAAGTTGTTTTGGTTTTACAGGAATATAATCCAACATAAGGAATATATCATTAAATGTTTTTGCAAGAAAACATCTCTTTCTTGGCACTACAGATATCAACTCTTTACAAACAGTGTTTATTCAGTTACACTGAATTTGAGTCTTATCCTTTTCAAAATTGGTTGAAGGCAAAATGGAAAAGGAACAAGAAAAAAAAATAAGTTTCCCAAGTCACCCTTTCCTCTACTCGTCTTATTCTGCTCTTTATTCAGAAAAATCACTTCCCAAAAATAGTGTCTACGCACCTATTTACCTTTAACAGAAATTAAGATGCCTAGTTTTGCAAACTGCTCCCAGTATACATACAGATATGGCACTTTTTTTCACCCTCAACACAAAAAAATAAAAAAAACAACACCTCTCCCCTTCAATATCTTCACTAAATATGGAAGATTTAAAGACGTTAAAGGAAGAAACAATTGGAGACACTATTTCAGTGTTTTAAAAAAATCTATTCCACACCAACTTCCTGGGCACAGATTGTGTACACCAGGGCCAACAGGTACACTATTTCCATAGTAGCTCATTTTCCCTTTCTCCTCCAACATACTCAATTATGATAAAAGCTTTGCTTTTTCAACAGCAAAAAAGTTATTTGGCAGAGATGCCTATTTATTTATGGAGAGGAATTTTCATGTTACTACTCTAAAACACATTTGTAAGTATTAAGCATTTAATATGGTTATTTTTGTGCTTTGGGAGAACTGCCATCTCTCTCTATACATAGTGGTGACAAGTGAGGGCATACTTTGCCTGTTAAGTTTCTACTTCCAAGCCCAAATCACCTGACATCTCTATACCTTTTCTTACAAAGTAACATCCCTATCAAGAACACCCCACACCTCTGGCAGATGCAGAAACCAAGGCATTTATTCCATAAATTTTGGTCCATAAGACCTAATCAACTTTCAAATAAACTCCTATCAGCTCCCTTTCATGTGTCAATGCCCTTCCTGTTTTTAAATCCTTCAAGTCCCATTTCTACCAAATGAGATAACTGTGACATTCCTTACTCAAGGCATTTCTATAAATTTTTGCTTGCATCAACCAGAACATCCCATGGTCGTCATAGTGGCTATCTCTAGACTTAAACCAGAACACTGGTGACCCACGCTCTGAGGGCGGAAACGGTCAAAACAGGTTTTCCCTCTTGGTGAATGTCCTACACCTACGAGGACAAACTCTGAAGTGACCTAAGCTAACAAAATGATCCAATGAGCAACATCAGCCCTACCTTAAAGTCTCACCAAGAATCACATGTTAGACAGACAAGACACCAAGGATAAGCTTGGAGAGAGATGACCAACTGCTGACATTTGGGCAAATACAGAAACAATAATGTTATGCATCCAGATTTTAGTAAAACACAAAAACCCAAGACTTTCATCAAGGGGTCATGGCCTACCTCAGCCTGAACTTTATTTTGTCCGACTAGATGACCTAATGGCCAAGTACAGACATTCGGGATACGTTAGCGGGAGGTTCAGTTGGTTCAAAATGGCTGCACAATATCAGGTAAGTCAGGATAGGGGGTTAGCAGGCTAGAGCGAATTAGGTGTCTGCCAGGCAATGTAGGGGTTGACAAAACCTACGGGTGGGGTGGAGGAGATCCCCTCCTAGCAAACCTACACTCCATCCCTCCCACCACCAGGCAGGACTTACTTGTTCAGCTCCAGCAGTAGCTAATGCTGGGAAAAGCAGCTGTACCCAGAGCAGCTTGTCAGATAGCTAGTCCTCTCAACCTGACTGGGACAGGGAGCCAGGTGCAAGAAGAGTAGCCTTGGAGCTGGGGCCAGTGGCTGGGTTCTCACAGCCCTGGGGCTGCACAGGGAACATGTACAGAAGTTCCATGCACTGATTTGACTCAAGTCAAATAAATTTGATATTACACAGATCCAGGTTCATCTTAAACTGGGGTCTGCAATTTTTAGACTGGTTTGTATGCATGGAACTTCTGTACAGTTACAGGTTTAGACTGACTGCCAATCACTGAGACCGGGTCTGTAAGTGTAAGGTCAGTACTGGGATGAGGTAAAGTCAAACTGGGTGGCCATTTTCAACTCAGCTTAACCTCCCCAAATGTCTGTACTTAGCCAATTTCAACAATCTTAACAGCTTGAAATCTACAAAGAAACTTCTGGAAGCATTTTTATATAGTAATAATTCACCTTCTTCATGGCATATGATATAGTAGTTCCATTAAATATGCCTAATTGGATACTGCCCTTCAATCCACATGCAAAGCTCTGGAAACTCTTCAGTGGAGCTGATTCTCCTGGAAGCTGGGTCCTGTGGATGTATATGAAAGCTTCCCTTATAAGATGTTGTATACCAACAAGTCTAGAAATTTGGTTTATTTAAAAAATAAAATTAAAAATCCCTGAGCACAGGGTCCTGAGCACAAATTTAACATTTTTATGAAAGGCAGTGTAAATACAATAGCCCTTGCTACACTGTGCTACAACACAATAAATTAATGAGGTGAATGTCCTGAGCTTTTTGTTTAAATTACAGAGAACTTTAATGACATGGCACATCAAGAAAAATTCACACCAAGTGATTTGGTTAACTAATTAGGTGAACAACATAAAAAGCACAATGATCAACCTATGCAATACAGAATACAGGTAAATATACACTTAACTAGCACAACATACACTATGTACTAACTAGCACAGATACCCATGCAGGTAAACTCAGTTAAATTAATGAGTTCTAAATACTACTAAAATCAATACTGAAACTTCTTTAGTTACAGATTTTCATCTGTGCTACCAAGTGCAACACATCATATAGAAGTATACACGCACAGTAAAAAGAATATAAGTTACGAGACCCCCTGCAGAGGCAAAAGCACACGCATTCAAATGAAGGTTACTGCTCTACTGATGACTCACCCATCTATGTCCTAAGTCTCAGAAGAAAAATCTCTCATATACCAGCTCCCAGTAAGCATGACAAGGGGGGGGCATATTAGGAGAAAAACAAACTCTAAATATGCCATCACAAGCCAAGTCTGAACAGTATTGTATGAAGACATATTCTACTTTTAAAAAGAAGTCACAGTAAAATACTTTAGTTTTTTGTATTTAAATAATTCTTTCAAATTTGTTACAATGTCACAGTACATGTTCATATTATGCAGCAAGAGTTGGATCACAGAACACCTGTCTAGATTTTCATGCGTGACTTCTGTTAATAGCAGGTATCTTCACATTTAATCCAGTACCAAGGAGTAATCAGCACATAGTAGCTGCCTGCCACACCCATGTAGATTTGGGGCACATCTGTGTGTCCCACCCCCCTGGGGTGCAGACAGCAACAAGAGCCCCCATGAGGAGCCACGGCCTCATCCCATGCCCTGCCCCACTCCCTCCCTCACCACAGAGGCCTCGATCTCCCCTCTCCCTCCTTCCACCACACCAGACTTATCAGCTGCACACAGCTGCATCGGAAATTGGATCAGTAGCAGCCATTATGCCTCCTTAAAAATTGGCTATCTGTATCAACCCCAAAAATCTGGATTGGTGCATCCCTAACTAGAAACAATGGCCTCAAGCTGCAGCAGAGGAAATTTAGGTTGGAAATTAGGAGGAGCTTTCCAACTATGAGGGTGGCCAAGCACCGTAATAGGTTACCCAGAGAAGTGGTGGAATCTCTATTCCTGGAAATTTTAAAGAGAAGCTGGACAGACAGCTGAGATGGTTTAGTCAGGGATGATCTGCCTTGAGCAAGGGGCTGGACAAAATGACCTCCTGAGATCCCTTCCAGCCCTACTTTCCTATGATCTAACATTTCAAGATGTCTCCTGAAATGGATGAAAGTTGTATTAGAACATGAAGAAAAATCTGTAAGGAATGTATGGAGTTCCAAATAAGGATTTTAGCAATAAAAAGTGCCAACTTTAAGACATTAGGAATTTAGAAGAGTGTACTGACAAAAGTTAAATCTGAAATTAAGTTTGCAATGTCTTTTCAGACTCCTACATCAGCATTACATCCAGTTGTATATTTGATATGAGTATTCACATAGACCAGTTGCTGGCAATCTTTCTATTGTCTTCTTGATGTGCAGGGTTAATGAATGCCATGATTCTGAATATCCTATATTAATACAACCACTGTTGCAACCACTGGTGGACAGTATACAAAGAATTAATGTACACAACAGCCAGTAGGTTTCTGTTCTGCTACTCTTTAAAGGAAATATGGCTGGATCAATTTAGACCTAGCATCTTTTCTGACAATCAATCAAGAATGATCTGAATTCAAATCAAGTTACTTGAGCTACCAAAGATTAACAAGACGGTTAAAAAGCAGATTTTTTGTTGATTTCGGTACTTCTTGTTATTCTCAATAGGTGTGATTTACTAAATGAGAAATAAAGAAGTCACTGAATCCCTACAGACATTATACTCTTTAAACGACCTTAGAAAGTGCAACTCTCCTTCAGCAAGCAAAGCCACATGGTAAGTTTTTTTGGGAGTGACTCTCTCTCTGCTCAGCAGAGCCAATAAGCAGTTTAACTATTAGCATCACCAGATGTGCTGGCTTAGAGAAAGGAGGAGGAAGGCAACCCTACTATGGCACTGCATTGCAGTAGTTTAGATGCCAGGGTATCACTGTCAATTTTATACTCTTCAGAATCATAGCATCAAGACAGAAAGCCCCACAATGAACTGGATACACTTAGAATGAGTGGA